CTGCCGTTTCTTTTTGTTTTGGTGTGTGCGAGCGGCTTGGCGCGAGATATATCGGTATAGGTAACTATACAGGCCATCCCCTCCGCGCGCGTCCCTCCCTCGCGTTCCGCGCGGTTTCGCGCCGACCTGAACGGCCTAATAACACGTTCCCTTCGCGAGGCGTTGCTATTGACAGATACAGCCGCGAAATAGGGGGGAGGGGCGGATTGGAGGGGGCAGGGAAGGGGATTCACGTTGTTATTGTTCCGCCGCGTGCTGCCACCTTCCTTGTTGTCAGCTTGTCGGTTACACGTGATTACGAGTTTACAACTGACGCGCTACGCCGAGCCGCTTCCCGATCTCTGGGAAACTTCATTGATCGGTCCATTCTAAACATTCGTGAATTCGTTGACGATTGCGGTCTCCTTAACTCGGAATGTATAAACAAAGCGGCATTCTGTTTTTTGTGTTACGAAATTCCCATTCAAAATTAGCTTGAGCTGTTCTTTCCGTAGCATTTTAAAGTATGTTTGAATAATTTTTATGTAAATTTACGTGAAAGTTATTCGAGCTTGTATATTGTTGTCTTATAAATAAATAAATTCTTCGGGACAGATTTCAATATAAATCTCTCACTCATATTTATGTCTAGTTAAAGTTTTGTTAATTTAAAATTTATTGTAGAATTTTATGCTATTCCTTTTCTCGCTTTCTCTTAAATTTATTTATGTTTTTTCTAGTGTCACAAGAATTAATAGACCTGCACATCAAGTTGTTGCGGAAAACGCGTAAAACTGTATCACCAGAAAAGTGGGAACGGGCACTAGTCAAGTTTTGCCACACGTACTCTAATCAAGATGGATGGGAACTTGAACGCTTTGGTTACAAGAAAGCTCGTATCGCTGTTAAACTGCGTTTACTTAAAGTATGGCTTATTTAATTTTTCTTTGCTCCTAGGCTATAATAATTAATCCATCTTATGCCAAACACTTTTTCTATTCTAGGTACTATTGGAAACACAATTTGACTTAAATCAAAAGTTTAAGAATGAAGTAAACAAATTAGCAGCTGATGAGTTGCGTGTGGAACCATTGGGAAGGGACAAGAGTGGATTAGCATACTGGTGTCAGCTGGATGAAGAGTGCAACATAAGAGTTTATAGGGAAGATTTAGATGAAGAAAATTGGGAATTAGTAGCTCAGTAAGTTTTGTTCTTATAAATTATTCTAGATAATAATATAGTAAATTATTATTTTTGTTGTCATTTGTCACCATTCTTCACATCTATCAATAGTATGTACTATGTTATTTGCAATAGGGATCGAGAAGGTGTTGTCAATCTTATAAATACCTTATCAAATGGAGAAATCGGAGCTATACCAATTAATGAGGATAGCAATAGCTTAGAAATATCTGAGAAACCTATAATTGATACTGGACAAGTAACAACGTCTCCAAGTTTGGAAGACGAAGTTGTACAAGAAAACGGGGTACACATAGACGAAATGAATAATAAACAGCTACCAAATGGTAGAAGCGATGAATTTGAGGATGAACAAGAGCAAGATCAGGATCAAAATCGAGATAAGCATGATATCAGTAATGAAGCTGAAAAAGAAGAAATTGAAGAGGAGGAGGAGGAAGAAGAAGAAGAAGAAGAAGAAGATGATATTGATGCCGAAGACGATGATGCGACAAACGATGAAAGTTCCAAACAGATTACGGAGGAGGACGATTCTCAAGAAATGATGCGAACTCCGACGATAGAAACAAGGTGTACAAATGATTTATCTTTATCAGCGACTAATTTAAAGACGCTAAATACGAAGGCAGACGCAATATCGGAAAATGCGAGCCATAAAGAGATTATTGACGAGACATCCGCTTCCTTGATATCAGAAAGCAAATCCTCTATAACGCATGCACAGACTGATATCATGAAAGCCGAAATTGAAGAATCAGCACCATTAAAATCTATAGAAACGCCTGTTATTACCTCATCTCCGCTAAAACTGGTGAATATTACGGAATTGAAGCAACCCCCAGAAGAAAAATTCATAAATCCAATGATACCTGTTATCGCGCCGTTAAACGCAGCGAAGAAACACGGCGCTCTTGATGAGATGACAGATTCCGTCATGAAATCGCTCGAGAAACTGCCTTGCAAAAACAATTTACCTTTCTCGTCTACGGATTCCATTTCTATGGGACACAGCAAGCTATCCCTCAAGCCGATCGAGCAACTGGCTGCGAATCTTGTGAGGATACAGTCGGAGAAATTAGAGAAACCAAGTGGGCCGAAATCATTGGAAAAGATAGCGGAATCTCTAGCAAGGTCCAGTGGTATGCTGGGAAATATGGTAAATGGAGAGGATGATAGGTTACCGCAAGACTTTTGCGCGAGAAATCAATCTGAAAAGTCAGCAATCCACAGGGGTCACAGAGGGATAGACTTGTCGACGTCACCACGTGGTTGGGAAAATGCAAACGAGCAAAACAGACCGGTGGATTTCTCTGGAATCGATCTTTCTAGTCGAAAGTTGGGAAAAACGATGGATCTACCCTCGCCGGTCTATAGGACGCAGGATTTCCAGCATCGAGAAATGGATCTGAGCACGAAGAAAGTGAGCAAACCGGATGTGCCAAATCTGCCGTATGATGCGCGGAGCGTGATGATGCGCAATCACGTGATGGTGGCCGATTTGAGCAAGCGACAAATGCCGTTTACCGCGTACGAGATGTCGTCGACGCCGTATCACAATACAGCTAGATTACCCGCCAAGGACGAACACAGATTGCCGAGCTACGCGATACTTTCTGATCCTAGCAAGCTCACGACGCTAAGGATGAATGCCGCACCATTGAAACGCTCTTTAGAGGATGACGATATTCAGCAAGATATGCTGAAGAGGTTAAGGGCGGATGTAATTCCAATCAGAGGTTCTATGGACAAGAGACCAATGATGAGCGCCAACTGGAGGGATGAGGTGAGCGAGGCTATCGAGGAACCTATGATGATGGTTCAAGGCGAAGGATCTGGCAGCGATTGTGATGCGGTAAATCCCATCGTCGGAGAGGCTATAGAGGAACCGACGGTTTTTTCTACGGCGAGGGTTCCGGGGCGGAATGCGAGACAGGTAACCCCGGTGACGATGCGCCCACTGACAATAAAGAAAGCAACGAATCAAAAAATGAACCTGACTCAGCTACTGCGACATTATCGCAGAATAAGGTTTTAACCGAGGACGAGGTGTCCACGGGCTCGATAGTGTCGAACAAAACCCCTGTAAAATTAAATAGAAACTATTCACAGTCTAATGTAAGCGTAAATGATAATTATCAAATAGTAGATTCTATGCAAGAAAAGCCAAAGTTCAAGCACACGTTAGGCGTTCAGATAATACCTAAAAGTACAACCGGTTCCGTCAAAAGGTTGTCCAGGTGGGACGTGGGAAAACCAGAAGAGAAAGGAGAGTGTGACAGTAGTATCATATCAAATGAAGGAGACATATCACTCAAGGAAAGTATAAACGAACGAGACAAGGAAGAACAGAAATTGTCGAGCTCGGATGTTGAATTGCCCAAAACTGGATACGAGAATTCTACCGATGTGGATCAAAGCGTCAAGGTAGACGACTTTGTAAAAGCGGAAAGTGAAACCGTCGAAGACAGTGTTAAATTGCAAGTGTCCGATGTAAGTTCAGAAAATACAAGTACGATGAAACAGGAAAGAGACTCTAAGCTTCAAGAGCCCGTGCAGTGCGATTCGTCGATATCATCTTGTCAAGCGGACACTTCGCAAGAACCTGAATCATGCGCGGATCCTGAATCTACTGTAAATTCGGCCAGTGTACAAAATGTTTCCGATTCGCATGAACCAGATGCAGAACCCGAAATAGCGAATAACGAATGCAAATCAACGGTCGGATCTCCACCGAGATTTTTTTTTGGTCCCAATTGCATCTCGTATACCTCGAAAACTGATGAATTGGAATCCCAAAGGGAGCAAAGTCTGAACATTTCTGTTAACGACAGAACGGACACTGTGCAATATGAATGTGTGTCTTCATCGAAATCAGCGGATGATATAATTCATCCGTACAAGACAGAAGATTTCGATCTGACACAAACAAATAATAATTCATTGAAATCGGATTTGTTTATTTCGGAATCTGACAGCGTTTCTTGCGGGAATAACAGTAAAGACGTAGAAAAAATTGAAGTGTCACCAAGTGACTCGTGTGACCAAGCGAAGGAACAAATTTCAATGTCCAACAGTTCGATAGATCCAAATAGTGAGTGCAACACTGCTAATTCGTCTCTAACACAAGTTCAAACGGAGACAAGTAAAGAATCGAACATGCAAGAAACTATTTGTCTCGACAAGGAAGTGGAAGAGGACTGCTCAAAGTTGCATGCAAGCTCGTCGGAGGTGATAACCGAAAATGAAAGTATTAATGACATAAGTATGATCGAAGAAGATTCAATTAAAATTAGTTCGCTAATTAAAACTAGCGAATCTAACGTGCAATCAGCGGAATGTGGAATTGTTGAGCCTCCGCAACGCGCTCAGTCTACGGATTCTGAAAATGTTGTAAGTACAGAAAGTCAAGAAGATCCTTTCAAATCGGACGATATTACATCGCGACTATCGGATGACAAAGAGTATAGTAATAAAGAATCGAAAACCGATGATTCTAAAAACGAGAATGACTGTCAGTTGGATAATATAAACGTCTCCAAGGAAGAGCAAGATAAAGTCGAGTTTGAAACAACGGCGCATTCGTCTTTGTCACCTCTTACGCAAAATTCACAAGCCGAGCTGGCTGACCTCAGGGAATTCGAGGACATTAACAATTCCAATGAGCCGTTAGATTCTACGAATGCGGCAGAGTCTGTGAATTATCAGGAAGCAAGCAGGCAGCTTGAGAAGACTGATCTGGATTCCGCCGGCGAGAGCTGCGACAAGCAAAGCGACAAGAATGATAATTTCTCTGAAATCGACGGTCAGGAGGATCATTCGACCGATACGGACAATGAGAAAATGAAGGGCCTGGCCGGTTCCGATGCCGATTCGTTATGCGTTAACTACGACAAAAACAGCGAAAGAACTGACGTCTTGTCGGACGTAGGAACGCAAGACGATGGATCGGGTGACTCCGAAGAGATCAAAGAGAAAGAACTGAACGACGCGCAAGTCAACGACGCTGTGTTCGGTATAAATTCCGAAACCCATCTTCCTGAAAGTTCTGTGGTAACTAGTTCGGTCGGGTCTTCTGTCCAAGAAAGTGATAAGCACGATGTAGTTCCTATCATAAGCAGTTCGGACGACGTCTCTGCACAGGATTCTTCGTCTCAAGAGAGTGAGTCTGTGCAAATAGATGGTGAAAAGGTTGAAAATTCGACATTGTCCGATACCAATAAACTTTCTACATTCAGCATTTCGCCAGTAACGGTGCCTGAAACGAACATTTTAAAATTGTCAAAGTCCAATGTCGTCGAAACTGCGAGAGAAACGAGCTTGTCTAGCTTAGTACAGTCTACGAGCGAGTATACAACCGACAATGCTTCTGAAAATCCCAGTTCTTGTATCGATCAGGACTCTAATGGGGAGATGGTTATAGACGATCGCGTGTCTGAATCAAATGAATTGTTCAAAGAAACTGAGGAAGTTGCAACGAATTGCGACGAGCAATCGAGAGATACAGCACCAGAAGTTTCAACAGAATTCGAGAAAGAGACGACTCCAGTCGTTACCGTAGAACAAGAATCTTGTCAATCCGTGACAAAGGAAATTGAAGTCTCAGAGAAGGAAAAATCTGAAATTAATGCAGAAGACAAAGTTGACAACGATGTTAAAGAATTTACTACTGCAAAAGATGACGGTGAGGCTTGTAATATCGATAAACGGGATATAGAAATTGCGGAGGATACTCGCGAAGTTAACAAAAGCGAGGAAATTGCCAGAAACGTGGAAAAGTTAGAGATAAATACAACAGCTGCGATTGCTGAACAATCGGAGACAGATGCCGTCAATGTAATTTCTCAGGATTCACGAGCGAAGATAACGAATGATACGAGACAGTCATTAGTCGCGAATTACGATAGCGATTCCAATGATAATGTAGGTGGCGATAATGTTCTTGAATCTGATTCGGAGCAAATGAACAATTCTAAGGAAGACTGCATTGCCATTTCAATAGAACAAGAAACGGGTGAAAAACTGCACGAAAAATCATTTGTCGAGGAGGATGTTAAGGAAGATGATGTCAATACAAGTGTAATCGCTGATATTTCTCAAGAACTAGCGTCTGTTGGACAACAATTAGAGGAACCTCCGGAAATGAAAATTGACGAAGTATTAAATCAAGATGCAAGTTTAGTTGTACAGCAAGACGTAAAAATTAACGAACAGGAATGTACCGACGAAACGGAAGTTAAAGCTACTTGCAATAATATTGAATATCGTTCGAATGATCAATCAATAATGCCTTCGGGTAGAGATGACTTTCAAAAAGAAACGGATATTCATTCACATATTGCTGTTACTGACGATTCTAAAATATCAGAAATATCAGATACGTCAAAGTCACCTTCGGTAACTCCCGTCACGACTGAAGATACAATCGAATCTCTTCAAAGCAAGAGTCTCGAGATAACTCCGGTCAACCATAGTGAGAAAAGTAAGGAGCATCTCAATAATTTAATTGATAACATGAAGACGGGAATGCAGGAAACTCGAGACATCGAGACGACGGAGAAAGCAGATGTGACATCTGAAAACGTTTGCAATTTTAATGAAAGCGACGCAAATAAAATTGCTAAGATTTCGTTTACTCAAGAAAATGCGGAATTCAACACTATCGACAATCAAATGACTAATGTATTCCACATAGCAGAGCAACATACGAGAAACATGGACGAAAAATTGAACGTTAGTTTGGATACTGAGAATATTGCGAGATCAAAAAATGTAAACGAACTCATTACCGAGGAGCTGCCTATTCCGTGTAAAAGATTCAAAGAAGATCCCGCTGACTGTGAAAGTAAGGACAATAAATGGGATGTTAAGCTGCAAGAAGAATGTTTGACTAAGCCATTCACGGAAGGAATAAGTTTACCATCGATTCAATCAGAATCGGACGTTATGCCAGTAAAAGTAGATAATGATTTAGATGCAAACAGATCGCATATGTGGAAAACTGAAGATGCAAGTTTAGAAGAGAGTATGACCTCGGATAACTTATATTATCATTCGAATTCGATATCTACGAAGATAGAAAATGTTAATAACTTGGATAGTTGCAATAATCAAAATGAGCCTTTTATTAGTATAAACTTAAATGTAAATAAGATTACAGAAAACTACGATAGAAATGCGCCTTTGGATGCGAATAGCGAGTCGACTATGTTTCCCGCTCAGGGGATTATTTCAGAAATTGGTGCTATTAAATCCGATCCCAAAAAGGAAGCTAGCAAGAGGCTGATCGATGCCTCGGATATAGAAGATGTTCCTCCGGTAAAGTCTAAGCCTCCGTACTTAGAAACCGATGATGACAAAACGATGGAAACTTTAACGAGTGCGGACGCGGAGGCACCCAAGATTTTAGATATATCGAACCAAGTTGAAAAATTGCAACCGCCAATCGAAGACGAAGCGAGGGCACCAACGATTTCCACAACGCAATTATTTCAAAATGATTTTGGTATGATAAACGATTCTGCGCCGATTGTCGCGCCGATAGAAGGTACCGAGAAGATTGATTTAGTAGAAGTTGCCGAGAGGAAAGAATGTTTGGAAGTGCAGAATATCGAGATGAAGAGCGTCCCTACGGCTTCCGACGATTCGACAGGCGCGGACAATGAATGTGTCTTCAACGTATCACCGGAAGAGGCTGATCCCTTAGCGTGCACCGACGACGATGCTTTGAGGAATATCACCGAGGATACATCTGACGCTTCCAAGATAAGTATTCGCGTAAAGCCGGCAACGGATTTGGTTTACGAGGGATGGAAATTGGACAGCACTACGGAAATGCCGAAAGTCTCGCGAAAGCGGCGAAATAGCGCTCACGAGTCGAATTCCGAGGACGGGGCGACGAAGCAAGAGGACGAAGAGATGATGGGTGGCAAAAGGATGAAGTTACGGGCGAAACGCATGCCCGACAAGGAATTACGAAAGTCCATCGAGGAAAGTCGCGGTGTGGCGGCGAGCTCCGAGGACGAGGCTGTGAAATGTGGCTCCGATAATGCAGCGGAGCCTGTAAATAAAGACGGCAGTGACGATCCGAATATGATACAAGCAATGGCGATTGATAAAAAGATCAGAGGTCGTCCCAGAGGTAGACGGAGACGTGGTTTTCGAGGTGGTGGACGTCCTAATCGGCCGAAACTCACGGAATTTCATCAAGGCGATCAAGCGTCGGAAATTTCTCCCGGTGCTCATCCGGACGGGTCACCTAACGATACTTTAAATACAACGCAGAAAAAACGGAAAAAGCGTAAGTACACACGCTGTAATAATCGTTCGCAGGGTACACGACAGTAGTAGTCAGTGAAAGTCGATTGACCGAGCAATTTTATTTTTGCAGGAAAAATGGTCTTGGGCTTGGAAATAGGTAGAGATATTTCGCTAGAGACAGAAGCACCCGTGACAGAACACGATGAGACGCCCGTCAGGCAATCGAGAAGAATTGCGCAGTTGAAAATAAAAGAACAAGCAGACAGGCGCAGAATCGAGGAGGAAACCATGAACCGTGAGTTGGGAGAGAAAAAGGAATCGGAGAAGAAAAAGAGAAAGAAACAGAAGGTAAGAAATTAAAGTAGTGCTTTATGTTAAATATGTGAGAGATTATAGCTCTAGTTTGTATAAGTAATCGTTTGTGTTTACTTAGCCGGAAAGCGAAGAGGAGGTTGTTATAAAGGAAATCGAAAAGGATAAAAAATCCAAGAAGAAACGTCGGAAGAGAAAGAAAAAGAAGATGCTCGCCAAATTTAACGAGGCAAATCCATGGCAGAGTTCCTCTGGGTCTAGCAGCGACGAAGAGAATGAGAATGAGGATGAGGAAGAGGAAGACGAAGATATGGAGAGTGAAGGATCCTTGTTGTTTAAGAGTGATCACGAATTCTCTCCGGAAAGCGATCTTGAGAAGGATCAAGAGTCTGAACCATTAAGACGTGCAAGAACTGCACAAAAGGGTAAGTTTTTTTACCCTAAAAAGAAATTCAATGAACTTATTTGAAATATACATAATTTTATTATTTTTATTTCTTATTAGCTCAAAGTGATGTTGAAGAAGCCGAGGATGAATATGCTTGTCAGAAATGTGGGAAAGCTGATCATCCCGAATGGATTCTTTTGTGCGACTCTTGCGATAAAGGTTGGCACTGCTCTTGTCTCAGACCAGCTCTTATGCTTATACCTGAAGGCGACTGGTTTTGTCCACCGTGTCAACATGTAAGTTTACCCTTCCTTACGATTACTTTATATATTTTTCATACGATAAACTATATATTTTTGCATAATTCCATAATATATGTGTTGAAATATATTTATATAGTTGTTGTGTTATTTTTTTTTTTAAGAATTTATTGGTAACCAAACTACGGGAGACCCTGAAAACGTGGGATCAATTAACAAAAAGACACGAGAATGAAGTATTGCGGAAGAAACGATTGGCTTTTGTTGGCATAAGTTTGGATAATGTACTTCATAAAGGTGAAGCGCAACGTGGGACAAAAGGATCGAAAGCGTCCAGTCAAGAATCAGATAATGGTATCTTTCATATAGCGATTTTATATAGCGATTCGTTTTTTGATATAATAACAAATTTGCATTAATTAGTAGATAATCGTACATCATTATAATATACCTGATATTAATCTGTTTTTACACAGAATCTTCAGATTCTTCTTCGTCAGCCTCTAGTTCTGAAACTTCGAGTAGCGAGGAAAGCGAACCAGTTTATCAATTACGTGAACGTCGATGCGCCAGCACTTACAAGTTTAATGAATACGATGACATGATTAATGCCGCGATTCAGGATGAAGTTGAAGCTGTTCAAGGTGCTGGCAATCAAGGAAGAGGAAAGGATATTGCAACGATAGTGAATGCAGAGAAAGAAGAGGCACAGGTAAAAATAATTAGATATTTAAATATAAAAATATGTATACTTAATGCCTATAATACTATAATCTGTTTGTTTTACAGGCTGAAGCATTAAAGATGACTCAGCTAGAAGAAGACAAAGACGATATGGAATCAAAACCGGAAAAAGAAAGTGATGAAGAATATAAGATCGAGAATGAAGATATGATTGATGAAGTAGAAGAGGAACAAAATACTGTTGCTAGAAAATTGTTAGCACGTAAGAAACATCGGAAGTTGAACAGTCTTGATATAAGCAGCGAAGACGATCCAGATAGTGATGAAGATTTCAAAGGTACAAGCTCTGAAGAAGAGGAGGACTTTGATGATCACATTACATCGTCCGATGATAGCAGTTTTGCCGATGTAAAACGACGTGGCAGAAAGGGCGACTCGCGTCCTGTTAGAAGATCTACCCGGGCGCGTATGACGAGAGCTTATGATGACGATTTTAGTAAGTTT